GACGACATAAATAAAAATGGCGATTATAACGGTTTTAATAATAATTTTTTTTTTTTTTTGTTTTCTACCTTCTACTGTCGGCTACCGCTATATTAATAATAATAATAATGATGGTAAAATGTCACGTGATAAAATTTTAAAAAAATAATTCGACAAAAATAAAATAAGTTCTATTATTATTATTATTATTATTGTTATTATTATTAATTATGTGAAAATTTTCGCGGGACCGGAAATTGTTCGTTCGGGTGTTTTCGGATGTTTTCGGGTGTCGGGTAATAAGAGTAGTTACTTTTTTTTTTTGGGGACGAAGTGAAAAACAAAAATGCAGCAGCGTTTTAGATGGAGAAAAGAGGAATGAGGAGAGGGGGTGGGTGGGTATACGAAACGATAAGAAAGCAAACTGTTGATAACAGAAAAAAAATCATTATTATTATTATTATTATGGTTTTTTTTTTTTTTAATTGCTGGAAATTTAATTTCTTTTTCTCCTACTCTCCAAATCCGGTAACGATGCGATTTAATTATCATCATCATCATCATCACCGGCTGAGAGTGAGAGGGGAAGAGACAGAAAGATAGAGGGAGAGAGAGGGAGGGAGGGAGAAAAATTATACGCTCGCGAAAAAAAAAAAAAAAGGAAAAACTTTGTTAATTGATAACGGAAAACTTTTCCGTTATCAATTATCAATGAGGGTGATTTCAAACTTTGTTTTTATTTTAACTTAACAAAAAAAAATTTTTTTAAATCCGCCATTTTTTTTTTTAAAAACGTCATTCGTCAGATTTATTTGACGTTAAATAAATTAAAAAAATTATTATTATTATTATTATTATTATTATTTTTTCAATTATAAATAAATAAAAAAATAATTTTGTTTGTCTGTACGTGCTTTGTAAGTTGGTAAAAAAAACCTCGGGAAAAACCGGAAACCCGATTTTTTTAAAAACAAACTATTATCATTATTGTCATCGTTATTATTATTATTATTATTATTATTGAAAAAAAAACCGCATGCGATATTTACGTATGAATGAATTCGTACGTGTATTTATTTATTTATTTTTTATTATTTTTTCGTTCGTTTTTTTTTTTTTTTTTTTTTTTTAAAAATCAAACTTCCGGTTTTTGACATCCGGGAGTCGTAAGTTAAATAAAATGTAATAAAAACAAGCGGAAATCCTAAAATGGCGGAAACTTTTCATTTTTGAATTACGCGCGAAACGTGACACCCGAAATTTTTTTTTTATTTTGTTTTTATCAAAAGAAAAATGACGTCGAAAACGGGGATTTAATGATTTAATGATTTTAGCAAGGAGGAGGAGGGGTATCGGGGTCAAAGGGCACTTAGGCAGGGGGAAGGGAAAGGGGATCGTGTTTTCCCGTGTGTTTGTATGTGTGTGTGTGTGTATGAATGAATTTCTATGTGTATATACACACAAATTAAATTAATAAATTTCTTTTTTTTTTTTTGTTTTTTCTGGAGTTTAAAATTTTTCAGGCATTTTTGTTTTTTTTTTTTTTTTTTTTTTATATTAACTGAAGGCTCTGTACTTTTCACTGTAGCACGCATTTGCTTTCAATCTGACTTTTGATGTCGTTTACGTGAGTTTCTATTGAATTTTTCAGTTCTGGAACAACAGAAGAAAAAAAAAAAATTTTTTTTTGTTGTTTTTCAAAAAAAAAAAAAAAAAAAAAAATCTACTAATTTTCCTAATTGGGGGGCGGTTGTGGTAATGGTGGGCGGAGGGCTGGGGTCGGGGGGATCGGATAACGAATTCTATCTACTCATCTCGTATCGTGTGCCCGTTTTTTTTTTTTTAAATTATTATTATTATATCTTTAAAATCAAAAAAAAAAAAAAATTAACGGTCATATCCGGTTTTTCGATATTTTTACTACGATATATATCGCCTTTTGAATCGGGGGTAGTAAATAAAAAAAAAAAAAAAAAAAAAAATTAAATCTCGTTTTTTTTTAACGAAAATAATCGTTTGACTTCTGCCACGTGTAAAAAAAAAAAAATTTTCTTTTTTCTTTTTCTTTTCCTTTTTTTTTTTTTCTACTAAAGAATTAATAATAATAATAATAATAATAAATAAATAAATAAATAAATAAAATAAAAATAAATAAAACGGACAGAAAAAGAGGCATGCCAAAACATTTCAGGCACATATATAGATATAAATTTGTTTTTTTTTTTTTTTTTTTTTTAAAAATAATAAAGACAGAAAATACAAAAAAAGGAATGCGAGAGAGAGAGAGAGAGAAAGAGAGAGAATACAACAGATGCATGCGTGGGCATATATATATATGTATAACAAGTTTTTTTTTTTTTTTTTTTATTTGGAAAGCAGACGACAAATATTTGTCGAAGCCTTTCAAATACTCTAATCGTTGCATTCCTCTTTCTTTTTCTTTTTTTTATTCCTATGCAACCGGATATGACCGTCGACCGGTTTTTTTTTACGGTTTCCTCTTTTCACTCCCCGTCGGGTGACAAAAAAAAAAAAAAAAAAAAAAAAAAATTACCCACCGCCTTCTATTTTTTTTTTTTTTTTGTAATACGAGGGAGTAAAAGTAGGAATAACGATAGAGATAGAGAGATACAGGGGGAGAGAGAGATAGATAGATAGAAACAACAGAAATAATTTTTTAAATTAATTTGCCCATGAATTATTATTAGATTATTGTAATAAGCAACAACATAATATATATGAAAATATCGACATCATGCAAGAATTTTTTTTTTTGACTTCCGGTTAAAGAAAAATGAAAAAAAAAAAAGAATAGGATCCCCAAATTAAAATCGAAAAAAAAAAAAAAAACAAAATCGATCGTGAAATAGTTTGAGAAATTATTTTTTTTTAAAAAAAAAGAAATATATATAGATATAAAAAAAATTGGGATTTACTTGTGAATTCGTCTTCTTCCTCAGCTTCCGCTTCCGCTGCTAATTCTTCCGGTGTTTTTTTCTTTCGCATTAACGGATTTGGTTCTTCTTGCGGCATGAACTCTTGAACTTCTTCTTTTTTCTTTATGTTGTACTTTAAAAAAAAAAAAAAAAAAAAAAATTAGTGTTAAAATCTTTCGTTCGTTTTTTCGATCGAATTAAAAATCGACCGCCATTTTGTTTTTTTTTTTTTTTTGTAACGGTTATAATTTATCGAATCGTTAATGACGAATTCGGACAAAACGTAAATTACGAGAACGTTATTAATTATTTAAAAAAATAATATTCGCGCCATTGTGCGTGTGTGTGTGTGTGTGTTCGTGCGAGGCCTTTTCATAAATAATAATAATAATAACAAAAGTAATCGCAGATTGTCAATCAATCAATCGCACGAAAGGTTTGACATTTCAAAAAGGAAATGAATTTTTTTTTTTGTACCGTTCACGAAATTAAAATGTGACAAAGGAAATAAAAATTGAAAAGAAAGAGAAAGATAGAAAATGAGTGTGAAAGTGAAAGAGAGAGAGAGAGAGAGAGAGAAAAGAACAATGAAGAAAAGAGAGAGGTAACGAAAAAGATTATAATTAAAACAATGCTTGGGAAATGAACGATTGAAATCGGAAAAATGAACGTACAAAAGAGAGAAAATAAAATGGAGAGAAAGAGAGAGAGAGAAAGGGAAAAGAAAGAGAGAAAGAGAGAGAGAAAAGGGAAATGAAAGAGAGAGAGAAACTGAATTGAAAATATAAAAAAAAAATTTTAAGTAACCCAAAACAAAAAAAAATAATAAGCGAAAAAAATTCTTATAATTAAAGCTAATTTTTAATAAGCGAAAAAGAGAGAGAGAGAGAGAGAGAACTGTGAAAAAGAGGAAAAGATAGAGAGAGAGAGAGAGAGAGAACTGTGAAAAAGAGGAAAAGATAGAGAGAGAGAGAGAGAACTGTGAAAAAGAGGAAAAGATAGAGAGAGAGAGAGAGAGAGAACTGTGAAAAAGAGGAAAAGATAGAGAGAGAGAGAGAGAGAACTGTGAAAAAGAGGAAAAGATAGAGAGAGAGAGAGAGAACTGTGAAAAAGAGGAAAAGATAGAGAGAGAGAGAGAGAATGAAAAAATTATTATTATTATTATTATTATTATTATTTTCTTTTTTGTATTTCAATAACATTTATTCATTTTAGACGCGCTTTTTGAAATTAATTTTGTTTTTTTAAAATTTTTAGGGATTTCAAGAAACGATAACAAAAGGAAATTAAGGAGATGATTACGACGACGACGACGATGATAATGATAACGAAGAAGAAAAAAAAGCAGAAGGCAAAATGGGAAGGAAAAAGGATGAAGAAAAAATTACCCGAAATCAAATCACATCGTATTGCTTCATAATCTAAAAATTTAAAACGAGAACAACGACAACCAGGACGACAGCAATGCGGCAAAACAAACAAACAAACAAACAACCGAGGCTGGAGTTGAGGGGAGAGAGGTAAGTAAAAATTCTAATTTCCACGTTAAAAATTTATGCTAAACTTTTTTTTTCTTGTTCCACTGAGCGAGAGAGAGAGAGAGAGAGAGAAAGGAAACAATAAAAAGGGGTGGGGGAAAGAAAAAAATTCATTAATTGTCTCTCTCACTCTCTCTCTTTTCTTAATTACTTATTTTTTATGATTTTGCATGTGTTTGTTTTGTTTGTTGAGAAAGCGTAAGAACCGGACGTAAATTTTTTTGTTGTTAAAATAAGTAAAGAAGAAGAAGAAAATCTTTTCTTCCGGTTAGTGTTTCTAATTTTAATTCTTCTTAGTTTTAATTCCAGCTGGTTTTCCCAGAAGGAGTCAATCTGACTCCGTTAGGGAGTCGCCATTTTAATAAAAGCTGGACTCCCTACTAGAGTCAATTTGACACCGACTGAGTCAGTCAGGTTTTCTTTTTAACACCATCTTCTTCACCATCTTCTTCTTCTTTTTTCACACTCGCCATCTTTTTTTCTTTCCGTCGTCTCATTTTCTAAATTAACCTATTTTTTTTTTTTTTAAAGTTCGAAACAACGGGGGGACGGGGGAGGAAAAAAACATTAAAAGACGATATTGCCAACTTAAAAATTTTTTTTCCCCCATTTCTCGTAAGCTAAACGCAGCAGCATATTGTAAAAAACAACGCAAAAAAAAAATTCTCATTAAAAGCAGACGACGTCTTTTTTTTTTTACTTATTTTGTAATTCGTAGACGACGACGACGACGACGAAAAAAAAAAAAATTAATTGTGAGTCTGTTTTGCTGCTTATGCTGATGCGGCTGTTGCTTCTTTTGCTGTTGCAAAAAAAAAAAAAAATTTTTATCATTATCATCATCATCATCATAATCATTACCTTATCTCTAATCTCCTGTCTCATTTTTTCTCTTTCTTCTTCCATTTTCCTGTGTTTTTCTTTCCTTCTTTCTTCTGCTTCGCGTATGGCTTCCTGTCTTTCTCTTTCCGCTTCTTCTTCCTTTTCTTTCGTGTCGCCGTCATCGTCGTCTCCACCGACTGCGCCTGAAATTAACAAAATTTTTATTCGCATTAATTAATTTTTTTCGTAAACCGGAAATGAAAGATTTAAACAAACCGGAAGTGGTGATGGTGGTACGTTTTTTTTTTTTTATCATCCTTGTTTTTTAATTTCGAATCGGGATATTGTAAAAAAATTTTATTTTTTATTTTTAATTATTATTATTATTATTATTATAAAAAAATATTTTCCGGAAATGAAGAAGAAGAAAAAAAAAAGTAAAAGTTTGATTGTTCGCGTGCCAGAAACAGATTTATATTATTAAATTTTTTTTTTTTTTTGAGTTTTAATTGTATCTGTCGTGTAAATAAGTTTTTCTTTCTTTCTCTCTCTCTTTTTACTTTCTTCTTCTTCTTTTCCATTTTTAAAAAATTAAATTCCTTTTTTTTCCTTTTTTTCCTTTTAATTAATTGAAAATATAACATCAATCAACTTTGACGGTTACTTGAATTAAATAAATAAGTAAAAATGTCGGTTTCGTAGTATTAAAAACGGGTAAAATTCCAAAACGGATACGATGATGATAATAATGATGACGAGAATAATAATCATCAACAACAAGAAAGGGAGGGGGAGAGAAAAGGGGAAAAAACGTTCCGGAAATGGAAAGTGTAAAAAACAAGAAAAAAAAAAAAAAACATTTGTCGTAATGAGAGAAAGAGAGAGTGAGAGTGAGTGAGTGAGAGAAAAAGGAAAAAAAGGGAAGAATGTTATAAATACCGACCTCCCACAGGAAATAAGCATTGAAAATGGCATTTCCGTAAGTTTTTCTCTTTTTTTTTTTTTTTTTTTTTTAATGAAAAATGAAAAATAGTTTCCATTAATTTATATATATAAAAAAAAAAAATTTTTTTTTCTCTCCGCCATTTTGTTTTTTCGTTTTTTTTTTTTTTTTTTTTTTGCATATTTTTCGTTGGACGTTAAATTTCATCGAAAAATCTTTATTTAAAAAAAAAAAAAAAAAAAAAAATGGCGTAAAAAAAAAAAAAAAACCGACGACGATGTTTTTTTTTTCTTTTTTTTTTTTTTGGTTTTACGACTTTTAAAAATAAGAACGAAAAAAAAAAAAAAAAAAACGATCGTAAAATTATTCCATTGAAAATTTTTGTTTGTCGCAAAAACGAGACAAACGAGAAACAAACACGAAAAATACGAAAAACTTATCGGTGCGTTATTTAAAAAAAAATAAAAATAAAAAATAAACCCGCCGCGTTTGCTTTTTCTTCTTCTTCCACGTTTCTACCCACGTCTAACAACTCACTTCCTCCCGCCATTTTTTTTTTTCTTCTCACCGCCTCCTCTTCTCGTTTGTTATTATACAAATTTAAACGCGGAAAATTTTAAAAACGAAGTTTTTTGTCTTTTTCTTTTCTTCTTCTTCTTCTTTTCTTTTCTTTTCTTTTTTTGTCTTTTTCCCTTCGTCATTCATAATAGATGAATATCATGAGCTTTCACAAAAAAAAGGTAAAAAGAAAGGAAAATAAAAGAAAAGCTTGATGGGGTTGGGAGGGAAGGAGGAACGGAAGGGTGGAAAGGGAGGAGAGAGAATAAAGAAATAATAATAATGATATTAAAAGGGAAAATGAATAGAGGAAGGAAAAAACCTCACGTTGTAATTACATTAGAAAGAAGAAGAAGAAGAAGATGGAGAAAATAGATGGAAGATGTGTTTTTGGCTCCGTTCGCTCTTAGGATTTGATCGAGTGGTTATTCAATCAATTTTCTTATTTAAAATTTTTTAAAAAAAAAAAAAAAAAAAATAGAAGAAATCAACAAAAACGCGAGAGAGAGAGAGAGAGAGAGATTTTTCATTTATTTATCATTATTATTATTATTATTATTATCTTATTGCCACGTCATATTCATCGTCATCTATTTCCGACACCATCTTTTTTTTTCTCTTATAATTTATTAAACGAAATCAATTTTTAAGTTCTTTTTTAAGAAAAAAATTTAAATTCTGAGAAATTCTAGAGACACGTTAATTTCCACCCATACCCCTCCTCCCCTTCCCCCACCATCACCACCATTCCCGATTTTTTTTTCCCGGATAATGATTCCGATTAAATAATGATAATAATTTTGTGCGTACGTGTGCGTGTTGATTTCCGTTTCTTTTCTCTAATGCGAAAAAAAAATAAAAATTTTATTTTTTTCTAATGCCACGGCACACACACACTCACTCACACAAAAAAACTTTTTTTAAACTTTACACGATTTAACCATTTTTTTTTTTTTTTGAAAACGTTTAAAAAAAAAAAAAGGGAAAAGATTTGCTTTCGGAATATCAAATATCTTTTCAAAATTTTTCTCCAAGAGTATAAGTAAATAGAAAAAAAAAAAAAGAAAAAAAAATAGCTCTGGAACTGGAACTGGAAGGTAAAATAAAAAAGGGATAAAAGAAATAATGGAAAGTGTTTTTTTTTTCTGGACAAAAAGGAGCATGAACTTTTTTTTTTTTTTAAAAAAAATCAAATAATAAGTTTTTTTTTTAAGTATTCAACTTACTTTTTTAAAAAAAAAAAAAAAAAAAGTTTTCAAGGAGTTTTTTTTGGTTGAATACGAAAAGAGGGGGAAAGAAAGGGAGAGAAGAAAGAGGAGAGAGAGAGAGAGGGAAAAAGGGAAAGAGAGAGGATTTTTTTTTTTTTTTTTTTTTTTTAATAATCGAAATGAGTGTAAAAAGTAAAACGGAAAGTCCTACTCCTCCCTCTTCTTCTTCGCCCCCTTTTTCTCCACTTCCTCCTCACCTTCCCCCCCCCCCGAAAAAAAAGAAGCCAGACAAAAGCACTTCAAAACCAACAGCACACGACTTTTTTTTTTTTTTTTCGTAAAAAAAAAAAGAAAACGTTGCTACAGCAGAAAGAAATGAAAAAAAAAAAAAACAATAAAAAGAAACAATAAACTAACAAAAGATTCTGTGGGTGTGTGTGTGTGTGTAAGAGAGAGATAGAAAGATAGAGAGAGAGATCTTCTTTTTATACATTCTTTCACAATAAAAATAATTTTTATTCACATTTACGTGCTGGAGAAGAAAAAAAAAACAGAATGAAATAAAATACGGCAAATATATATATATTATGTTTATAATAGCACATGAAATTGGCAAAAGATTTTATTGGACGAAAAAAAAAAAATTGCGATATGTTAGAGGAGGAGATTTGAAAAAGGGATTTCTGGAATTGGACAGAAAGAGAAGGGGGAGAGAGAGAAAGATGACGAAACAAAAAGAATTGAAAGAGTGGGGAGAGAAGGAGAGAGAACTAAGGAGAAAGAGAAAAAAAAGTAGTGACACAGAAAAGCGAGAGAGAAATAGACGGTTTTAAGAGAGGAAAAAGAAAGAGAAAGAGAGACAATTTTCAGAGAGGAGAAAGAAAGAAAGAAACGGTTAAAAAGAAAAGAATGAAAAATGGATATATAGAAAAAAATAAAAGATAATGAAACAAAAAAAGGAAAGCAAAAAAGGGAGAAAGATAGACTTTTAAAAAAAGGAGAGAGAAAGAGACAGAGACGGTTTAAAAGAGAGAAAGAAAGAGCGAGAGAGAGACACGGTTAAAAAAAAGAAGAAATAAAAAGGAAGAGAGAGAAAGAAACGTTTAAAGAGAAAAGAATGAAAAATGGAAATACGGCAAAAAAAATAGAAAATGAAAAAGAAACACGAAAGAGAGGAAGAGAGAGAGAGAGAGAGATGAAACAAGAAGAAATGAAAGAGACAAAAAAAGAGAGACAACTGAGGAGAAAGAGAAAGTTAAATAGAGCAGAAGAAAAGAGAGAGAAATAGATAGACGGCTAAATAGAGGAGAAAGAAAAAAAAAGAGAGACAAAGAGAGAAAGGAGAAGGTTAAAGAGGAAGGAAAAAAAGAGAAAGAGGGAGGGAAAGAGAAAAAGGCTAAAAGGTCAAGTTTTTAAACAATAATAATAATAATAATAATAATAATAATAATAATAATAATAATAATAATAATAATAATAATAAAGCATTTATTTGGCAAGTCCCAATTTGAATAAATAAATAAATAAGAAATAAATTTTTTTTTTTAGGTTTTAACTTTTCGATTTTGAGCCAACGTATAATAATAATAATAATAATTCATCTTTCATTTTTTTTCCTTTTTTAATATCGAACGCGCGATAAATAAAAAAACCCGCGAATAATTCAATTTAAAAAAAAAATTCTTTTCATCATTATTATTATTAAAAAAAAAAAAAAAATTTAAATTTAATTAAAATCTTTTGAAGTCTCTAAAAAGGGTCAAAACACTTTGAGAGAGAGAAAAAAAGCACAACCCGATCGTCATCGTTATCATTTCGACCGTTAAAATAAAAAAACAACTTCCGGTATATCGAGATATCGAAAAA